AGAAAGAAAGAAAGATGAGAGAGGAGAAAGAAAGAGAGAGAAAGAAAGAAAGAGAGAGAGAGAGAGAAAGAAAGAAAGAAAGAAAGAAAGAAAGAAAGAAAGAAAGAAAAAGAAAGAAAGAAAGAAAGAAAGAAAGAAAGAAAGAAAGAAAGAAAGAAAGAGAAAGAAAATGTTACTTTAAAAGCTTTACATAAATTTGTGAAAGAAATTTCTCTAGTGTGTTAGAGAGAAAGTCTGAAGAATAATAGTAGCTAATATTTGCTAGTTACCTTCTCTGTGGAGCTACAATTGTAAGTATTGTACATAGAATAAATTGTCAAATCAACACTACAGTCTTTTGAGGTAGATGTTGTTATCATTCTCACTTTTTAAAGTAAGGATCTCAGGCACGAAGAGTTCAAGCAACTTGCCAAGATTGTATAGCTGGGTTGTGCCACTTTCTGCCTGGGCACACAGCCTCTGCACTGCTGTTTGGGAATGTCCATCATGCCAGGAATAGCACCACTTCCATCCCCTTGCTCCTTGACACTACTGCCTGTCAGAGCTTTCATGCAGCCAGTGTGCCGTGCTGGCTTCCTCGGCCTGGGGGAGTTCTTTAGAGCTCAGTCTCCTCTGCTGCATGAAAACGTGCAGCTCAGCCTCACAAAGATCTCTATCTACTTCTGCCAGATATGGGGATAATCTCACACTTCTCAGGCCGAAAAAGGATCAGAGCCCAGTTAAGAGGATTTAGATTTATTTTCCTATAATTTAATGATAAGTAGGGACTTTGTAAACACAATTCTTCCCTATCTGAAATATTGTTATACAACAAAAATTGTATTTAGTCCAGTAAAGGGATACCCAAAAGTTACATTCAGAGAGAATACTACACACATTAAAACGAACATGACTGCTGATTTGATGAGTGTGGAAAAGCAATCTGCAATAAATAAATCCAGGCTTTTAAAATAAAAAAAGCTTCAAAAATGGGCTGCTTTACTGAGTTAGTATGAGAGGTAAAACAATAACGCTTTCAAAAGAAAATGTAGGAGAAAATCTTCATGACCTGTAGTTATGAAATGGTTTTTTTTTAATCTAATAAGATGAATAATTATTTTCAGTGGCAATCTGGAAATTACTAAACAAAGAAATACTGCGATACCAGAGTGTACGGTATCTCTCATGGATGATACACACACCCTTAAAAAACACCTGCTGTATAACCAAACTGGCAATTTAAATATTATGGTTTCAAATTAGTCACATGCAAACACAGAGCTATGATGTCCTTGAACCTGTGCACCTGATATGTGTAACAATATTTAAGAAGAGTTTGAGTTTTTTGATATGACACCAAAAGGACAAGCAGCAAAAGAAAAAATATAAATTGGAGTTAATCCAAATTAAAAGTTGCACATCCAAAAGGTATCATCAAGTAAGTGAAAAGATAATGCACACAAAGGAAGAAAGTATTTGCAAGTCAAATACACTATTTGTTAAAGGTTGTCTACCCAGAACATAAAAATAATTCTTACCTTACAATTCAGTCATAAAAAAGGCAGAATTTTAAATTGTGCAAAAGATCTGAAGAGATATTTCTCTGAAGAGTTGCAAATGGCCAATAAGCATATGAAAAGATGTTCAATACCACTAGTCATTAGGAAAATTCAAAACAAAACCTTAGGAAAATGCAAATCAAAGCCACAATAATATATCACTTTGTATCATGGGAATGACTATAATCCAAAATAAAATAACAAGTGTTAGTGAGGACTCGGAGAAACTTGAACCCTCATAGATTGTTTGTGGAAATGGAAAATAGCATACCTGCTTGGCAATATCGCTTTTCATTTCCTCAAAACATTAAATAATGAGTTATCACATGATCCAGCAAGAAATATATATTTAAGGGAAATGAAGACATGTCCACACAGCCATTCATAGTGGATGTCTATAGCAGTATCACTCATAATAGACAAAAATGGAAACATCTCAAATATCCATCAGTACAAGGGTAGATAAACAAAGTGATATATCCATACAATACAATATTATTCAGCCAGTAAAAGGGATGGGATATGGACATATGGTCTTTGGATGAACCTAGGACACATCATGCTGAGTAAATGAAGCCGATGCAAAGAACTATGTGATAGCCAGGCATGGTGGTGCACGCCTGTAATCCCAGCACTCGGGAGGCAGAGGCAGGAGAATCATTGCAAGTTCGAGACCAGCCTGGGCTACAGAGTGAGCTCAAGGCCACCCTGAACTGCATAGGGAGACCATGTCTCAAAAAGACAAAAAAAAAAATTGTGGTTGTGTTTACAAACCTCTGTGACTAAACTAACACAGCTACTGTACTATTTAAATGAGTGAATTGAATAATATGCGAATTATCTTCCTTTAGGTTTTTATTAGTACATATTTGCAGCATATAGTGATTACATTCATCATGGGGAGCTGGTGAAGAATTAGATTTCAGTAAAACTACTTTGTGGTGGGGAGTACCAGGAACTGAACTCAGGAACTCACACTTGCCAGGCAGGCAGTATACCACTGAGCTAAATCCCTAGCCCAATAAAACTACTTCTGAAAATAGCAAGTCAGGCATGGCAGCATATTGCTATAGTCCCAGCTACTAAGGAGGTTGAGGCAGGAGTATTTTTTTGAATGCCAGGGTTCAAGACCAGCTTAGGCAACATAATTAGACAGTCCTCCAAAAAAATTTTTAAAAGGCTACTGTGCCTACTGTTAATGTCTTTTTTTCATAAACTCCCAGTGGCACTGTCATACTAGGTAATAAAAATGAAATTTTGTTCGTGTAACTCTCAGCAATTCACTGGATTTGCTAGAGCTCCAGGTGCTGTGTAACTTGTTTCATATACATGAAATCGTATTTTTATTTTGCTGGTGAACTTATGGCTTCCATCATAGGTGCCCCAAGCTGTACTTGCCAACACAAAGTTTGAAATTCCTTTACTAGCCATATAGGATTAATTTAAAACATTAATGCATTTCTTACCATGTAACCCGCCTACCCTAACAAGGTGGTAGCTGGAAGTTCATCTTCTCAGCTGCATATTCATGGCTAGCAGACGGTCAGTATCTCAGGGTGGGCATCACTCGGATTGTACTCATGATAACAGTGTTTGGGGGATACAGCTTCCCAAGCTCTCTCACCGGTTCCCTTCCACTAATTTTCCCACCGGGATTTGTTGTGTCCTTCTGGATTCTTATAGAGCCCTTGTTTGGCGTTATCGAAGGGGTGAGTGCTGGCCTCTTCCTAATCGGCATGCTGGTGGCGCTCGTGGCCTTTTTCATCTGCCGGCAGAAAGTGAGGTAAGTACAACGGTCCCTTTGGTGACTAAGCCCGTGACTTTAGAAATGCATCTAAAAATGCCCTGTAAAAAAATAAATAAATAAAATAAAATAAAATAAAAATGCCCTGTCGCCTGGAAAGTAAGAGGGAAAATAGTTTAACCTCTCCAAGTGAGACAACCACTGTTTTTGCAGTAAAAACAAGTCAAACTCTAAAACCAAAACTTCATTGTTTTTCAGCTTTATTCTACACTTGATGAATGTGGCCCTTACCAAAGACTACAAGTCCATTAGTAGCTTTATTTAAATATTAAATAACTCCTTTTGCATAGGAAAAAAAATTTTGGTTCATATCTTCATGAAGATGGAGATATTTGTAAATTCTGTGCCCCCGTTCTTTTCTGATACATCCTGAAAAATATAGTTGATACCATTTTCTGGGTCATATTTACCATCTGAATTTTAAAAGTGACTCCAAAGAAGCAAATAGCAGGTGCCCCACTGCCATGCTGTCTTCTCTTAGCGAATTTTTTGTTTAGCACATTACACCCAGTCATGTCTGGCATCTGGGATTTACAGGTTTGGAGTTTTTTTTAAGAAAATTTTGTTGAGAGTGTGGGAAGTGATTATGACCCATAGCCAAAAACCAGAAGACAGACCTAAGTTATTATACAGATCTGTGTCTAAGTGGGAAAGATCAACTTTTCTATGCTCTTCTTTCCTTTTTCTTCCCTCAAAGAAATATTGGCAAACCTTCATGAATCCTTAAAACTCCAGATTTGCTCAAACATGCACACCCTTACTCTAAGTGGGAAACTTTGTTCAGATCAAATGTCATAACTGGAATAAAAATCCTCTAACTCGGTCTGGGGATGTAACTCAATGGCAGAGCGTTTGCCTAGCAAGTGAAAGGCTCTGGGTTCAATCCTCAGTACCGAAACGGAAAAGTAAATCCTCTGCCTCACATTTCAGCCACGGTAGAGAAAGGCCCTCGGCACGCCTGAGCATTCGCAGGGATCGACCACTGTCCGTGCACCTGAACCTGGGCCAGAAAGGGTGAGTGCCATGTTCTCTGTCACGTAATTCATTGGAAGGTGGTACCATATGAGATTTGCTAATACAGTCTTTTTTTCTTTTTTCTTTTCTTTTCTTTTTTGTTTTTTTTTCACAGTAGCCGGAAAACTTCTTGGTAAGAGAACTCATTAATGACTATATTATCTACTTTTGAAATGCAGTTCCTACTGGTTATGCTGTTCTACCTTTTCTTTAGTAACTTTCTTTTCCTTTTATTTTTAATTCCAGCCCCATAAAAGTAAATCAGTTTGAAGGTCATTTCATGAAGCTTCAGGCTGACTCCAATTACCTGCTTTCCAAGGAGTATGAGGTACAGCTCAAGCACAGTGAAGCGTGAATGCCCCCTAGTCCTCGCAGAGTTTTCTGTGCTGTGGGATCCTAGGCTGCCTCATCAGGGAAGTTAAATGGACGCTTAGGCTCTCAGCTGAATGCTGTTTGTGCCTGAAACCATTCGCTGCACAACACATCTAATCTACACCTAATCTAATCCGATTTAATCTCATCTACACCTAATCTCAGGGCCAGTTTGAGCTCCCAAACAGTACAGCAAAATGCTTCCTGGATCAGGTGGTAAGGATCTCAGATGCACACCTACTACTGTCAGTTTTTCAGCCTAGCCACAAGCTTGACTGGGAAATAATATAGCTTGGTAAAAAGGGCCCGGTCTTTGGATTTTGTTCCCAGTTTTGCCACTTGTGTGACCTGGAGCACGTTAGTTATCGTGGCTGAGCCTTCAGCACCATGTGGGGCTGTGGACCAGAGTTAAGGCCTGTGGGACAGAGGTATTCACTCCATAAACAGTAACTGGTATATATATTTTTTGTATTATTGTGTATCTCAAGGACTGTATAATTTATGTTATTCTGCTTTAAATTTTCCATTTGCAAACTTACTTTTGACATAACAGGACTTAAAAGACGTGGGTCGAAACCAGTCTTGTGATATTGCACTCCTGCCCGAGAATAGAGGAAAAAATCGATACAACAATATACTGCCATGTAAGTTTTGTGTCGCAGTTTGTAAAACAGTGTCTTCCTCTAGCCAGGTCTGCTCTGCCCCAGGAACAGAAGAGGGACGAAGAAATATGGTGTAGCGGGATATGAAAGCTCTCAGACTCCGAATGATTTTAATCAAGGAATGACCTGTATATTCCTGCACTGCTCTTCAGAAGTGTAGTGAGCAGCTTAAATTCCGATTAGGAGCAGCGGACTGTGGTTTCTCATTAAAGGCTGAGAGCAACAGTGGGTGAACAGCAGGGCTTTGACCTCGAGCTGACCAGGGTTTGATTAATAAAATCTCCAGTTAGTGACTTGTACAAGAATACTCTCCTTTTCCCATTAGGTAAAGCACTAGAAAGTCATTTTCCCGGATTGTGTTCATTCCTGCAGTTAAAGGGAACTAGCCCCTTCATTAGGCAAGTGTCATGATGGTAAGAAAGGAAGGCAGAGATGGGGTTCACTTTGTGTGCAACCTGGGGCCAGTTAGTCATCCTGCTTGAGCCTCCCTCTGTACAGTGGAGATTAGGATACCTTCCTTGTGGCTGCTGCTGGAATCAGATACGAAGCATGTCAAATACTTCACTTTACATAACGAAAAATTACCCCAAGACACAACAGCAAATCTCTCAATTGACTTTCTTCCAGATGATGCCTCACGAGTGAAGCTATCCAATGTAGATGACGACCCTTGCTCCGACTACATCAACGCCAGCTACATCCCGGTAGGTGAACCCCTAGGCTCAGGATGAAGCTGAGACCGGTGCCTGTTCTGGAGGTGACCCTACTTCTCCTTTGTGATCTTACTGTTTCGGGCCCTGTAGACATTTGTAGGTTTGTAGAAAACCATGTCTGATTGCCATGAAACAGGGGTGTTCTCTTTAATCCCTTTAAGCTCATATTTTACGGTGACCACAATAACTTACAATTATTATGAGCCCAGGGTGCATGTTCAAAGGTAGTTCCCTCTGTGGCCCTTAAGCAAGATTAGAGCTCCAGAGGGCACGTAGGTCTCTCCTGCTAGGACTGCTGAGGTAAGGAAATGAGTCTTATATGGATTTTGAAAGCCACACACACCTCAAACACTGTGTCAAGTGCTTGGGTTCTGATTCTGTAGAATTTTGCAACATCCTGTAGCACAATGCAGGGGAAGACATTTCAAGGGTCAAACAAATCCAAACTGAAATCCCATTTCTGTCCCTTGCTGGTTCTGTTGTTGGGTAGTTCTTTTAGAAATAGCTTGCCAATTAAACTTAGTCCACGTCCTTCTTTCCTCAAACAAAGAATTGGACAAGCCAACAACAGTACTGAAAGTTTATTTGAAAAGTGAGGGGTGAAGGGATAAGGGAAAACTAGCTCTGCAGAGTGAACTTGAGCCTAACAAAGAGAGGAAAGGATAAAAGCAGAATTACTGTGTCCTCTGCGCCCTAATGCAGAGTGGCTGCTGTGGGGCGTCACGGCAGCGGGCTCTTGTGGCCTCTCGTCTCTTTTACACTGTCCACATCTCATGGGAGCCCGCGCACATATGGGGGTCCTGGGATCTTATGACTGACAGGGCCTGCTTATTTCCCCAGCCAGCTTCACCATCCCCGCAGTTCTGTGATCTTGGACAATTTATTTTGCCACCCTGAGCCTCCACTTCCTTTTTTATAAACTTAAAGTAACAATATTTACTCAAAAAATCATCAACTCAATAAACACCAATTAGTTAAATGCGAATTGTAAGTCAAACACAGGCAGAAGATGAACAGCATTCTACCATAAAGGCCCAGGAAATTACAAGGCAGAGCCCGCAGAAACCTGCTAGTGAGTTTCTCCAACACAGCCCAGTACCGTCTGGGGCTCGCTACAGCAGAGATTCTCTTGCATGAGGCTGCGGTGAGGCCTGGACTCTGCATTTCTGACAGGCCCCTAGGTGATTCCATTGCTGGTTCCCTGAGAATCCACTCAGGGTAGCAAGAACCTAGAGGTTGCTAGAGAGTATTTAGGAGATTACCACCCAGCAGAGAGGAAGGTAAAGCAAGCTCAGCTGAATAGGCCCTGTGCTCAGAATAAACAAAGCTTGGTCGGGTGGGAGGCATTGTTCCAGTGCGCAGGGGGGACATAATGTAGAGACGCTAAGGAGAAGCAAGGAGATAAAGATCTTCAGCTAGGATTTACAGGTAATTCTATATTGCTGGAGTACAGAAAGAGTGAATAAAAAGGTCCTAGTTCAAAGTATGGTGGATAGGATTAAATAAGATCCGTGAAGTCTTGACGCACCGCACAGTAGGAGAGGAAAGGGTAACAGAGTGGTTTCCCTTCCATTAAGCTTCCTTACGTATATCTCTTACCAAATCATTCTGTCGGTTTTCCTCACCTTTCCAAAATTCAGTCCCTCAGACAGCCTCCCACACAGACACGTTATTAAGGGTGAAGTGTTTTCTAGATTACACCACAGTCCTCCATTTGCCTTTTAAAGACCCAGCCAGAAAGGGAAATGTGCCTCTGAACAATAGCTCAATGTTCTGGCCTTTGTCCTTTCTGCTCCCAAGCCTCGACACTTGTGTTCATTTCTTTTTCTCAAGCCAGGGACCTGGCAGAGGTCTCCATATCATCTAATCTGCAGAGCTAACTCTGTTTACGGTTCTGAAGAGACCCATTGTTTCTGATTCTCCCTGTTGTAAATTCACTCCAGGGCAACAACTTCAGAAGAGAATATATCGCCACTCAGGGACCGCTTCCTGGCACCAAGGATGACTTCTGGAAAATGGCATGGGAACAGAACGTCCTCAATATTGTCATGGTGACCCAGTGTGTGGAGAAGGGTCGAGTGAGTAAATAGTCTTCCTGACTTCCAAGCTTTGCTTCCCACACCACCAGTGGAATTCCAGCTCACTGCAGTTCAGACTTGCACGCCCAGTTCCAAGTAGAGACAATGGGAGAATGTGGACGCCACACGGTTGTAAAAGGGCTGAATCTGGGTCTGCAGTTTCAGTCAGAACTGTTCACATGTGGTGACTGGGATTTTCATAAGGGCTGATTACACAGAAAGAGAATCTGCCCCATCCTTCCATGTACGGCATGGGGCAGGAAGTGGAGACCCTGCCAGGGTCAGGAGCCTGGCCTTGCCCTCAGAAAAGGTGTGAGTTTTAGGCTGTCTTGGAAGATTCGAGTAACATGGTTATCTGGACAAATTAAGCAAGCTTTTTGTAATGCATTTATAATCCACTACTTTCTGTAGTTACTTTTAGGATTAAAAGAGATTACATGTGTGGAGCTAACAAAAATATATTGGGTTTCTCTCAGATTATTTATGCTCAACTGAGACCTGTATGTCCTCTTCAGCAAAACTAGCCTTATCTATGTACCTATCTATAAAGATACCAAGCAATGAAACAATTAGAAATATATGTATAACCATACACAAACATTTATGTATAAAACGTAGAACTTGGCGGGCTGTGGTGGCACACATGTATGATCCCAGCACTCTGAGAGGCTGAGGTACAAGCTTGTAAATTTGAGTCCTGCCTGTACAATTTAGCCATTTAGCAAGACCCTGCCTCAAAATATGAAAGGGCTGGGCATGTAGCTCAGTGTGGAGGCCCTGGGTTCAATCTCCAGTACTGAAAAAAAAATTATATCCATATGTAGTTCAGATGAGCCCACTTGGGGTGCCTCACCATAGTTAGTAGAACAAAACCCACATATACACTATTTGATACCCATACATACATATACAAATACAAGCAAAAACATATTCCTGCTGAGTGAATATGCATACCTTATAAAATATGTCAATTTATGAATAAATGTATAAATACCACCCCCCAAAGTATAAAATAAGTAAATAAGTGTTCACAATCCCCTTTCGCCTTTCCATGTTCGTGTGAACACAAGCTGAGCTATCCACTATAACTGCTCAAAGATTTCTTGGCACAGGGCCCACGTTAGAAAAACAATAAAAATAGGGACAAAACAGGACCAGGAAGACAATGCCTTCCTCTTCTTGACTGGATCTTTCTTCAGAAAGAACAATAAATCGTGTTTTATCTGCTAGTGGAGCAGGAAGGCTGAGAAAGTCAATTAAAAAAAAACTCAAGCCGTGAAATATCTCCTGAAATGTGAGTGAATGCAAAGTTTGGGGGTTGAGATTTGTTCTTTGAGGGGTAGCCCCATTCCTTGGAGCAGTAGCCCAGCTTCAGTACTGGTCATGAGCCAGCAAATAAAAAGTAGATGCTGTATTGTTTTAGAAGCTGATCCTGGATCCCTAACTAAGGGAGGGATTTCAGAGTGCAAGTCCAAGGCCTCACAGGAGTCATGTTTCTGGGTTGACTTTTTTCTGTCCTCTCCTAGGTGAAGTGTGACCATTACTGGCCAGCGGATCAGGACTCCCTCTACTACGGGGACCTCATCCTGCAGATGCTCTCAGAGTCCGTGCTACCTGAGTGGACCATCAGGGAGTTCAAGATATGCAGCGTATGTTAGTTTGCCTGGCTTCGTTTAATAACCCAGTTCAGGAAGATGTGAATCCGATTTTTGCTGACTTCTCTCCTGTGATGTCAGATCACGGAAGTTCCTACATGGCACTGTGGTCCAATGTGAGTTTTCCTCATCTTATCCTGCTCTCTTGCAGGAGGAACAGCTCGATGTACAGAGACTCATCCGTCACTTTCACTATACAGTGTGGCCGGACCATGGAGTTCCCGAGACCACGCAGTCCCTGATCCAGTTCGTGAGAACCGTCAGGGACTACATCAACAGGAGCCCTGGTGCCGGGCCCACTGTGGTGCACTGCAGGTATGTCTGTGGAACCTAGGGGACAGGAAAACGGCGTCCACAAGAGCACTGTGCCGTGGAATCTGGAACGAGGCATGAGCTTGGGGACAGTGGTAGGCGGAAGATTTGTCTGAGCTCACCAGCTGCCTAACTCCCGGAGGAGTTTATTACACCGTCTCCTTTAAGCTCCTCTTCCCTAGACTTCACTTTCTTCCTCTCCCACCCCTCCTTCACCCTCACTCTCTACCCTTCTCTCCTCTTGTTCTTTTTCCTACTGTGTGGAATACAAAGTCCCTGAATGACTTCCTTGCTCGGAATAAGTGGACCCCATCTCACCTTCCATCCAAGTTCCATACAGTTCTTCTCCCATTCTCACCAGGAAGGTGACTGCACCGGCTCAGTCTTGCCTTTTGCCATTCACCATTCTTACTCCCTGGGGCAGCTTCTCTCTCCTCCACCTGGATTAGCCCTATGGATCCTTTAAGAAAGGTGCTCTAGACTGCTCTCATGTCTAGTCACCTGTCTTTGCCCACTGCTGCTGCTGTAACAAAATGCTGCAGACTAATCCACAAGTAGAAATTTGTTTCTCAAAGTTCAGGAGACTGGGAAGTCCCAAGATCAAGGCACTGGCAGGTTTGGTGTCTTTTGGAAGGACAGTTTCTGCGTCCAAGATGGCGCCTTTTCTCCGCCTCCTCCAGAGGAAAGGAAGGCTGTGTCTATACTGCTGAAGGGACAGAAGGGCAAAAGGACATCGCTAGCTCCCTCCGGCAGTTGTATAAGATAATAATCCCATATATAATGTGGAGACCTCAGGGCCTAATCACTTCCTAAAGGTCTCATTCTTAACACTGTTGCACTAAGCATTAAATGTAAACATGAATTATAGAAGGGACACCAACTTTCAAACCATAGCATAGCACTTGCCATCTGTAGCACCCTATTTCGCTCTTAAATTTCTGTTCTCTCTTAACTTCTTGCTTCAGAGAGTCTGTTCATAAAATCAGCCTAATGAGCCCTCATTCTCTCTCTGGGGAGCCCGGCACTTAGCTAATTAATGTTTGCAACAACACCATGACAGTCCTAACTGAACGGCACTAATGCATAAAGAGCAGCAAATCGCTACAGTAAGAGAAATGTCAAGGGTGCTCATCTTCTTCCAATCAGCCCCACACCCTAGGAGCCATGCTTCTTTATGTCACTGGAATCCCAGTGCTTTTTGGGTTTTGTTTTATTTTTTTCTTTTCTTTTTTAAAACAGGGTCTCACTACATACTCCAGGCTGGCCTCAAACTCGCTACGTAAGGCCAGGCATAGTGGCACATGCCTGTAATCCCAGCACTGAGGAGGCGGAGGCAGGGAAATTCTGTGAGTTTGAAGCCAGCCTGGGCTACAAAGTGAGTTCAAGGCCAGCCAGAACTGCATAGTGAAACCCTGCCTCAAAAAGACAAAAAAAAAAAAAAAAAAAAAAAAACTCACTATGTAGCCCAGGCTGGCCTCAAACTCACAGTGATCCTCCTGCCTCTGCCTCCCAAGTGTTGGGATTACAGGTATGTGCCACCACATACACCATCACCAATGCTTTTAATGGGAATGTGAGGTACGCCAGAGCTTCCTACTTTCTGAAGGAAAAATGGCAAGCATTTTTGTCCAGGACCACTGGAGAACTGTTCTTCTTATCTTATGAATGCGTGCACTAAATAACAACCAGAAATTCTCCCAAGAATAATCGTATTTATTTGGGAGTAGCAGAACATGGGAATTGGAATACATGTACCATAGTTAAGGACAGATGTATTTCGGGCCAGGGATGTAGCTCAGTGGCATAAGCACCTGCCTGGTAAGCACAAGGTCCTGAGTTCAATTCCCGGTACCAAAAAAAAAAAAAGTATAAAAAAGGATAGATGTATTTAAAGAACTTGAAGTGAGGGCAAGTTTTTAAGGTAAACAGGAGGAAATTTGTACATACTGCTTAGATACAGAGCACAGTGGTCTTCATGACCCAAGTCAGGAGTTGGTGTCAACACACTGCTAAAGATACTACTGCTGGGCAAGTATTCTGTCAGGCATCTCTGAATTGCTGCAGTCTTTTAAAAATATTGTCACAGAAATCCGTGTACATGTGCAGGGTACAAATTATCAGGTGCATGTAGAACAGGAAGCTATTTTTCCAGGCCTTTAGAAAGCCCTCGAGAAAGTATTTATCACAGACAGGCAGACATGGGTTCTCCCCCTTCACCACTTCTAGACTCCGATTTTGTCTAGGTCTGATGAAAATGACTTCATCTTGGTATCAGCAATTCGTACAGCATCCAAAATGCCCAGATTAGCCAAGTGTAGTATCTCCTGTCTGTAACCCAAAACCCTAGGAATCTGAAGCAGGAGGATTGAAAATTCAAATCCAGCATGGGCAATTTAAGGACTTAGTAAGACCCTGTCTCAAAATTTAAAAATAAAAAGTGCTGGAGAGATAGCCCAAAGACCCTGGGTTCCATACCCAAGTACCAGAAAGAAAAAAAAAAAAAAAAAAAAAAACCCAGACTATACCTCCACAAATTGGCAATTTATAGTAAAACTGAGAGTATTTATACTCTCTAACTAACCCAGCTGTTCCCCTTCTAGGTGTCAACACATCACCACACATGCTCACAGCAGTGTTCATGTGACACATTTTTAACAGAGAAAAATTAAAATGGCTTCATTGCCTGAGTAGGGAATGTGATAGTAGTGTTTTATGAACTCCACAGAATGGTTGAAAGAAATTAGATCTCCATGTAAAACTATGGATAAATCTCAAAACACAATATTAAAAGAACGACAATATTGAATGAAAAATTGGCAAAAGAATACATTAAACAAGTTAGTATTTCAATACATTTTGGAAACACATAAATAAATTGCTGATGGACCTATATGTTTGTAGGAAAAGTATAAAAACCTATATGGAAATGCTGTCCACCAAGTGCAGAACAGAACTTACCCCTGATAGAGGGAGAGGGGAAAAGACGTGTAGTACCGGAGCTCTAGGTTACAATCCTGTAAGAGACAGGACTCACTGAGAGTAAGAAGATGTACTACATTCTTCCATAGTTGGAAGAGAAAAAGAAAGATTATTCCAGAGTCTCTGGATGCAATCCTGAAAGGCAAATTTAATAAAATGCTCCTTTACCATCTCTTCTAGTGCCGGTGTGGGTAGGACTGGAACCTTTATCGCATTGGACCGAATCCTCCAGCAATTAGACTCCAAAGACTCTGTGGACATTTACGGAGCTGTGCATGACTTAAGACTTCACAGGGTTCACATGGTCCAGACTGAGGTAAGAGCAACAGGCTGAAGGACACAGACCACTTTTTTCCTCCCTCTACAAAAATATATATTAATATATAATACATTATCTACTATAATATATAATCAATGGATTACACATGGGGAAAAATAGGCCAATCTATCTTGCAGATCGATTTAAAATAAACTGGTGGATGAACACAAGAACTTCAATTAGAAAGATTATCCCAAGCTCGTCTCCCCCTGCCTCCACCCTTCTATCTGTACCTTCCACTCCGAGGACACCAACAGACTCTGTCCTTTGCAAAGGTTTAATACTTCCATTTGCTCCCATAGCCCTTTGACATTCACAGCACTTTTGTTTTGTTTTGTTTTGTGGTACTGGGTATTGAACCCAGAGCCTTTGCACTGAACTACATCCCCAGCTTATTTTTATTTTTTATTTTGAGATAGGGTCCTGCTAAATTACTAAGTTCTGGAGTCTGGGCTTGAACTTTCCATCCTCCTGCATCAGCCTCCCAGAGTGCTGGGATTATAGACATATTCCACCATGCCTAGCTCACAGGTCATTTTTTGGGGGGGGTTGTTTTTTTTTTTTTTTTTTGTACTAGGAGTCAAACTCAGGACCTTGCACTTGCCAGACTGGCGCTTATGCTACTGAGCTATATCCCTGGCCCTCACAGGTCATTTTAAAATGTTATCCTCTTAAATTTTCATAATAACCAGGTAAGTGAGGCACTGTATTCCACATCCAGGCTAGAAAACTGAGGTCCAGAGGCTAAAGTGTTTTGCAGAAAGCGCATCGTTATGAAGTGGCCAGGCAGGGTTGGACTCTTCTAGAAAATACGAAGCCCTTGAGTACCAAGCTTACTGCCCCAACAGCCTCAGTCAGCTCTGTGCCCCATATGCACCCAGCATATCTCTTGCATGACTCAGGTTCTTTTACTCTGGTTTTCCCAAGGTTTTTCCCCAAGTAACTCTACAAATGCTTCATATTAAAAAAAAAAAAAAGACAAAAAGGTGAAACATTCTCTCTTTTACCATATCCCACCTTAGAGTCAGAGCAGAGCACAAGCAGCAGTGCTCACTCACGGGCATCCTGCAGCCCAGGCTCCCGTGGACATGGAGGAGCCCACTATTCTGAAAACTGCCTTGGGCCCTGGACTCTTTTCTTGTACAGCACACATTCACAGCTGGAAGTACTGGCCTTCTACAGTGCTTTTGGTAAAACACATGTGTCGTTGCCTCCTGCAGGAGGAACCCACTGCCCTGATCTTTGCTATTGCTGTTGGCCTGGGTTGGGAGTACTTTCGATATAACAATTTATCTACCATATTTCAAATGTTTTGCAGTGAAATTGCTAACATATAAAATAGTACCTCAAACCGGGGTTAGGGATATAGCTCAGTGCTAGCCTAGCGTGCATAAGGCCACGCATGGGTGAGATCCAGAGCAAGACACATGCACAGGTGCACACACACACAATGTACATACAACTAGGAAAATAGGAAAATGAGTTTTCTTACACCCAAGCCCCAGCTTCTACATTTATAAGTATTCTGTGTTCTCTTCTCATCTGAATCCTACATATACTGTTTCCCCTACTGCCATGACCCCACTGAAATATTTTAAAGAAAATCCTATTTATCATATTATTTCATTCTTGTTTGTTTGTTTGGTTTGGTTTTTGGTACTGGGAATCAAAGTCAGGATCTTACACTTACCAGTCAGGCGCTTCATATTATCTCATTATGTAGCCCAGGCTGGCCTCAAACTCTCAGCGATCCTCCTGCCTCAGCCGCAGAGTGCTGGGATTACAAGTGTGCGCCTCTGTGCCTGGATCATGGTGAAATTACTATAGACGGCTAAGTTATTTAGAAATATTATAGGAAGTCAGACAAGGTTAAGCCCTCGAAAAGGTCAGTACAGAAGACAACTATGGCTGGAGGTGTATTCTTTGAAGATCTGGCCTCAGGATAGAGAAATGACTACACCCACATACTTCCCCTCAGATGAAGAGCAGTGACTGATATTATAAATAGGCATCAGTCCCCTTGGGTGGAGTGCCAGAGCCTCCCTGGCCTCTCCCTTCCAGGAAACGTCCCTGTTCAGGTTCAATTCATGTGCACTTGCCACGTGACTTGCTCCCCCATTTGATCCCCATTTAATCACTATTACCTAAGTGACTATGCTCTTCTTATCACTTGACCATTATCTTGTCCCACCTTATACTCACCTTGTGATTTTCCATTGAATCAATATTACCTAAGCAACTGTACTTGTAATCTTATAGTTCACTGTAGTTTGTTGGGGTTTTTTTTTGTTTTGTTTTGTTTTGTGTGTGTGTGTTTTTTTGAGAAAGGGCCTCACTCTGCAGCCCAGGCTGGCCTCGAACTCACAATGATCCTCCTGCCTCAGCCTCCCGAGTGCTGGGATTACAGGCATGTGCCACCAGGCCCAGCAGTTGACTATAGTTTTGTCCCATTTTATACCCACCACATCTCATGGTTTTGCTCTATAAAATTCCCTTGAGAGGTGGGGTCCCCAGGGCCATCCACTTGGGACCCCCTTCTATCTGTCTTAGACAGAAACTTTCTTGCTCTCACTCTTAACTTCTGCTGTTCCTAGAATTTATTCTTCAATTTTAGAGAACAGGAACTCGGTATATCAGACATCTAGCATGTTGGGAGTTATAGTCCCCTTATATTATTTGGATTATTTGGAGGCTCTATATCAAAATAAACATTGCAGCAAAATAAAATTTTGTCTTTCCCTTTTTTCTTGGTTAAACAAAATCCCAGTCAATATCAGATCTGTTCTTGCTCTAAAATAGTGCCACAGATGGACATAGTGGGAGTGGCCACAGAGGGGTATAATCAACAAGCCCCTGGGGGTAAATCCTTCAACAGAAGAGCAGGAACACTCACACCACTTGCATTGTTCTTCTGGGTCCATGGTGACATTTGGCCTCAATGTTCTCCAAAGAATGCAAGTTATCCCAATTTTTGATGAACATAACAAAGAGCAGTAGACAAGGAATATGCAAGTTCTTGGGGCAAATTTGCAACCTCACCCTCAAGGGAAGCTCTCAGAAAGAGCAGTAACTTTTTAAAGAACAATAGGGGACGGTCAGAGTCTGCCACTCACTACCGGCAGCTTCCCAGGAGGACACACGTTGGAAAGTGCCGTAAGACTCCAGTTGGGAAATTATGCTGGAGTTTTCTGAGAACCCACACAATCTACATGTAGCTACGCTATGTTTCTCGTCTCCAGAATGTGTGTATTTTTATGTTATTTCTATCACTTGGAAACATTCTTTAAAATGTCGCCTGTTTTCTCTATCTTGATACTTTCCAAAAAGTAAACGTAAAGGCTTCCCTTCCTACCTAAAGTTGTACCCATAATTGTACTTTGTGTTTATGCTGTTCTGGGTATTTATTCACGTCTGCCTTCAGGGACCGTGAAAGGCAATACATCGAATGCTACAACTGCTATTTAATACCACCAGCACTGGTGAAATGAAATGAAACTGAACTGTCACCACCGATCCAAAGTTTTGCCCGTTAACAAAACGTAATCTTTCATGATTTGAGGTTCATTTATGACATTTTTTCAACTTTTTATTATGACTAAAATGAGAAGTACGTTAATCATTTTCTAGGGGATAGTTTATTGGGGAAAGAAGAATTTATATTTAAAACAGGCAAATTAGTAGATATTAAGTAGTTTCAGAGCCCACAGGGGATCATTGTTGAAGAATTTATTAATAGGCCATAGCGTAGATATAATAGAGTTCATTCACGGCTTACCTCTAAGGTTCCAAAATGATTTAATATCCCAGTAGAATTAAAAATAGGAATTACGCTTTGGGTCTGAGAAAACCGCGAGGAGTCAATCTACAATTTGGTGGATCATTTTAAGATGGCAAACAGAGAGATACTCTAGACTAACAACCATCCTCGGAATAGCACTTTCCTTGAATATTCAAGGTCAAGATGGTAATAAAACACTCATAACAAACAAGTAGAGTCTATGAGCAGAAAAGCAAAGAACAGTAAGCCGCACTTTTTAAAAATTTCCTAATCTATTGATTATTCGAAACCTACCTCTTAAAGGCCCCTGGGTAGATGACCAGACTAGCTTCCCATCAGGAACATTGCATAAGGGTGACTCATACAAATAAGCACTTGTCCACTCTGAGAGACTGTTACAGAGGGAAAATCTTTTAGTCCCACTTTCATCGCAAGCCTTCAAAATACTGTAAGACTGGCTACATTGATTACCTTAAACAGAGGGTCCAGAAATGTTTTTTAGTATCTGTCTCACTGACGTCAATACCAAGTCTTACATCCTTTAATGGACAGTGGATGTTATTTGTAGAAGAGACCTTGAATGCCTTCTTTTACAGATGAGAAAACTCAGGTCCCAAGAGGGCTCGAGGTAACCAGGCCCCTCCAAGGCTGAGAGCCCGGTCTCCCTTACTTGTTTTCACGTTCCCCTCCCAACCTCGTTACTCTCTGGCCTCTGAGCAATTGCAAATCAGTAAGGGGAGCCCAAGGCCAACACCAAGGTTACAGCCATCTATGCCCCTATTAGAGAGCTCATTTGGTGGGAAGGATGGGGATCCAGTGCGCAGATTTGGCTGGTGTGCCTTGTCAGTGAAAGTTTGTAGGGTTTTTACAGTCATGAAAATACTGATTGTTCTATTTGTTTTTTCCTAAAGTGGTTCATACCCAAACACCCTGATAATATTCTCACTGTGTAACCTTTTGTACTTCTCTGCAGCCAGGAAACATCTCTGAGATTCTTCCCTGGGTCAGACTTGAATTCTAAGAGAAAGGAGATGGGCCAGCCGCTGAGCTTATAGTCAAAGAAATGACAGTTAATGGGGTTTGTTGTACATACCTCATTTTTCTCACCAGTTCACCCAAAAGGGGACCAAAACAAACAGAAAAGATGTGGTACAATGATTTTCTCATAAGAACAATACCTGGAGGCCACACCTTCTGCATCAAACCCTAAGGCTCCCTTTCTTGGCTGTGTGACTTTGGAAAAGTTACTGAAATTTGAATCTCAGTTTATATTGATAATTATAATTGTTGTTGAAATTATGAAATGATTTCATGTAAACTAGATAGCACAGCATTTGGCATCCACTCATCTCTATCTGTGAAGGACTTACTGTGTGCCAGACTTACTAGCAGGTACTCAGTACGTAAAGAGATAAGCAAGCATGCGTGTCCTTCTCTTTTCAGCAGTAATGAAAAGAATTCATTTCTTATGTACCAGAGACAATTAGTGAAATGATCAAAAAAATGTCCTGGCTATAAAGCATTGCATCCCTGTTTATGTATTGTAACAGTTCTCCATCTTTGATGTGTTTCCTGCTTCCTCACAGTGTCAGTACGTATACCTACATCAGTGTGTGAGAGATGTCCTCAGAGCAAGGAAGCTACGGAGTGAACAAGAAAACCCCCTGTTTCCAATCTACGAAAATGTGAATCCAGAGTATCACAGAGGTAGGGTCTTAGTTCATTTACTCTTAAATACACTTTTCAAAATATGGTCAGCCTAAAAAATTATTAATAACCTAAAGCTCTCCTAATATGTACCACCTATCTTTTCTTCTACCCAGAGGGTCCTCAAAAGAGTGGAATAGAAAGGAGAAGCAAAGTGGGGAGGAGTTTCCCACAGTTGAACAGAAATTCCTTATGGTACTTTTACCTACAGAGCCCGAAATACCCTCTTTGGAGGACTGCTTAACATTCTTTTTCCAAGCAATCAGCTTTATTGAAATCACAACTGACAGTTCAAACTGTAAAATTGTTTTGGAGAAGAATTTGGCAATCAAACTATGAGAGAGCTTGATATGTTATCTTGTGGTCTAATATTTCTTTTACTACCCTAAGTACAGAGAAAGCTTTACACATAAAGCTTTTCACAGTTAAAAGTTTAAAAAATACACACACACACTCAGAGTTAAAAGTTTGAGTGAAAAACTTTTCAGTAGAGGACTGCATTGGTTATTTCTGCATTGCCACAATAATACCAAAGGCAATAAATTTATGAAGAGAAAAGGCTTATTTAGCTCACAGTTTAGAAGGCTCAAGGGCATGGAGTTTGTATTGGCCAGTTCTGGTGAGGATCTCAGGGTAGATACAGTCAGAGGAGCACATGTCAGACCAAGAGGTCACATCTAGAGCCAAGAGAACTGAGAGCTTTTCGGGGCCACTCACTATTTAAAACAACTTTCTTGTGAGCTCTACCATGGAATTTCATGAGTTTTGCCTTCCTATACCACACTGCCAATGACCCAAGGACTTCCCACAAGGCCCCACCCCCAACAGTTCTATGGCAGCACTTCCTAACACTTCCTGCAGACCAAACCTTCTGTCAGAAAGGACCCTTGGCAGACTCAAGCCATATTCAACTTAATATAATGATGTAGTCATTAAGAATGATATAGATATGGATATGGATATGGATGTAGATGTGGAGATAGATGATAGATAGATAGATAGATAGACAGATGGATAGACAGAATTTTTTTTTTTTTTTTTTTTTTTTTTTTTGAGACAGGGTTTTGCTATTCAGTTCAGGCTGGCCTTGAGCTCACTCTGTAGCCCAGGCTGGTTTTGAACTCACAATGATCCTCCTGCTTCAACCTCCAGATTGCTGGGATTACAAGCATGCACCACCACACCCAGCATGATAGATAGTTTTTGTGTTCTGTTTTATTTTGTTTTGCTTTGACATATGGTCTTGTTTTGTTTTGTTTTGTTTTTTGGTACTGGGAATTGAACTCAGGGCCTCATGCTTGACAGGCAGGAACTGTGTCACTGAGCTACATCCCCAGCCCCTGACATATGGTCTTGATATGTTGCCTAGACTGACCTCAAACTCTAGAGTTCAAGAATATTGCCCCTATGGTCTCTCATGTGGCTGGAGTTAGAACCACATGCACCATATTTGGCTCAAGAATATTTTTCAGGATATTATAATAATATGGATATTCTTAAAAACAAGTTGTTTTAGTGTGTTTTATGTTTCTATAACAAAATACCTGAGACCAGTATATACAAAGAAAAAAGGTTTGAGCTGGATATTAGCTCAGTGGTATATACTTAGAGTAGGTTCAGTTCCCAGAACCACACATACACACACAAAAGATAGAAAAAGAATATATTGGTCAGTTTTTCATCACTGAGGCACAATACCTGATACCCATAAGTTAAAAGGATGAGATTTAATTTGTCTCACAATTAGGGGGATTCATGCCATGGTCAGCTAGGCTGAGACAGGAACACCATGGCAGAGGACTGTAGTGCAGCAAAGTTGCTTAGTTCATGGCAGCTGGGAAGCAGAACAGGGAAACAGCACCAGAGAGCAGGAGGTGAAGGATCAGATACAGCACCCAAGGTCACACCTCCGTGACCCACCCAGACACTCAGAAGTGTGCTTTACTAATCCCCTAGACAGCTCCCAAGCCAATCAAGTTTGCACAAGTAAGCTTAACACCACAAAGAAGAAACTGCAAAGGAAAAGAGAAAGAAAGAAGAGTTTTCTTTAGCGCTGTTTTAGAGGTTGAAAGTCCAAGAGCAGGCAGATCCCATCTATTCAACCCAGATGGAGCCCTCATGGCTGAATCACAACACAATCACACAGTGGACCACGCATGACAGTGCACGAGATCACGTGATGAGAGGGAAAGCAAGCTAGAGAGGACCCAGGTGTGTTCTCTTATGACAATCTTAATCTTGCAGAAAGAAATTTTTCTGAGAAAACCTAACCCAGTCTGGAGGATAATTCCTCCAGAGCAATTCCTTCACAAGGGGAATCATGAAACACCTACCATTGAGTTCCACTTCTTAAAGACCCCATCACCTCAGTATGGTTACACTGGGGTCAGGCTTCCAACACAGCAGTCTTTGGGTAACACACCATACCTGAAGCATAGTGTTAGTTAAGAAAGAAAAGCAAAATGAGCTGGGCGTGGTGGTGCACGCCTGTAATCCCAGCACTCAGGAGCCTGAGACAGGAAGATCCTTGCAAGTTAAAGACCAGCCTGGGCTACAAAGTGAGCTCAAGGCCAGCCTGAACTGCACAGTGAGACCCTGTCTCAAAAAGACAAAAGAAAGAAAGAAAGAAAGAAAGAAAGAAAGAAAGAAAGAAAGAAAGAAAGAAAGAAAGAAAGAAAGAAGGAGAGAGAGAGAGAGAGGGAGAGGAGAAGAGAGGAGAGGACAAGAGAGGAGAGGAGAGAAGAGAGAAGAGAAGAGAGAAGAGAGCAGAAAACAATGCATAGGGCAAAAAAGAAATAAAAAGACAGGGAGAAAATATAATAGTAAGATAAATTTCTCTGAATAGAAAAATACATGATTTTTTTCTTCTATTGCAAGTATATTTCTAGAATAAGCAGGTAACACTTTTCAAATACAAAATTCTGTAGAAAAATGTGTATAAACCTTTTAAAGCACCACTTTGATCAAGCCGTAATTACTTGTCAGAAGAAGTCTTTATTCCTCTTCCTGCTCTGAGCCATCATTACACAGGCTGTTACTGCCTACCACAGGCCTTAGTTTCTTCCTCCTAGAACTTATCTCTACTTATAAATCAGATGATTTTTCATGGATGAAGGGAATTTCAGTCCTATCTCATCTCCATCTCTAAGTGACCTTCAATTGGTAATGTCTCCTAACATTTTTAGTTTTCTGTACCCTCTACACTAAGCAGTCTCACCAGTTAAGAAAGAGTTAATAATCTCTAAAGCATAAATTAAAAAGCTACCATTTAAAGGAGTTCTTTGTAGATCAGCTAATCCTTTTGTATTGTAAATAATTACCCCCTAATTTATCTGTATAGTAAATTAAGGTTTTTACATGTCATATTCTTTAACAAGCTCCAGGACGGAGGGAGCTCTGGGGGATCTTAGAAGTTTCTTTGTTTTGTTTTGCCTTTAGAGTCTTTTTTTACAGTAACCTTGATACAGCCTGAAAGAAGCTAATTATGGGATAGAAAAAGATAACCACCACCTGAAGGCTAGAATTCAGATCTTAGCTCCAGAACTGTGAACTTTAACTATTATTATCATCAATCCTGAGTGAGTTACTCTGTCTCTCTGGGCCTATGGCTTCATGGCTTCATCTCTGAAAGCAGAGAGGATAGACCTGCTACATAGTCCCTTCCAGCCTACCAATCTATATTTCTAAATGCGGTGACCTTATCCCATAAAGGTGGTCTCATCCTAAAACATACTCCGCGTTAGTGGTTTTCACTGGTCTCCCTCATTTGTAATTTTCATAAACAGAGCAATTGTGATCCACCTTTCCATAGTCTCTAATTATGTTGTCCTTCCTTTCAGATGCAGTCTATTCAAGACGTTAAGATTGTACCTGAAGATCTCCTGGATAAAAATTTTTCACTGTGTGATTAAAAAAGCAAAAAACAAAAAAACTTCCTTCCTGCCCTACAGAGGTGCCAGCTATTTCTGTTGATACTATGTATAATTTATTACTCTGGAGAATGTTAAAGAATTTATGTAATTTAAAGGTAACAGATATTGTTGTACATAGTTATATTTTGTACTTTCTCCTGTAAATATGTATTTTTCATAATGTTTAATATTAAGCTTTATATAAGACTATTTTTCCACACTAAAGTGTTTATGGCTTGTTCTACATAAGCTAGTGCAACCTGTGTGACAGGGCTACGGGTGACATATGTAAGAAAGTGGTCGCAGAAACAATCCCTTGAGTTGTTTCTTATCTAAGTGCTCACTGGTCAAGATACAGGGCCAGATTAGAAAGAGTAACAGCATGACTAGTTCTGCTGTATTTCTGGCTCATGAATCCTGAGATCCAAAGATGACCCAGATGCTATTAGGACAAAGATAGCTACAACAGCCAAAAAAAAAAAAAGATTAGTGGTGGGGGTGCCTTAGTGGTAGAATGTATGTTTAGTATGTACAGGCACTAGGTTCAAGCCCCAGCACACACACACACACACACACACACACACAATATTAATAATAATAAAAGAAAATTTGAATTAGGATTAGACAGCACCAAACTGAGCCAGGTCACGGTGCCTAAACTAGTTGCTTTCTCCCTTTCTTCTGCTAGGGAATCAAGCCAAAATGGTCATCCCAGGGGCCATGTCACTTGCAGTTCAAGCCCAGCCTGCAGTGAGGTGCTGATAGGTGAGGATCCAGACAGAAACACAGGAATTCTTGGGTTACAAAGAACACTAGCCACAGTGATCGCAGATTTCTTTGCTGTATTTGCAGTGCGGAACGTGAACGCTCGTGTCCATGCTATGATGTTGGTTTCTGGATACATTCTAGTCTTTGTCTCATCTCCCATGGTCGGTATTCCTGGAAAAGTCATGTTTGGTTTTCCCATTAAAGAAAGATTATGGTGGCGATTATACTCCTAATCAAAGGGTTGAACACCGACAGCTTCATAAAAACAGCTATAAATATCACATATAGCTAACTAAAAAGCAACAATAGTAAAAAAGAGAAAGGTTATCTTAGGATAAAATTTTACAGGAGACATTTTTAGTACGTTAATGAAGTCAAAATGTCAAGCCATCATCTAAAGTTGCATTTAATGTAAAAAGCTCTCCATACTCTAGCAAGTTCATCTTCAGTATGTATGCCTTCTTTTGACTCTAACAAAATTCTCGAGTCAGACAGTGGACATTGCCCTCATCAAGGTGCAGTTATGAGAGCCTTCCTAGGAAAAATTTGAAAAGCACCTGGAACCCTTACAGCTGCCTGAGAAAATAAGCTGGAGATGCCATTTGCAGAAAGAATATATTTTTCTTCAAAGAATGTATTTTTGCTTCCTTTATAAAGTCCCATAAGTAACAAAATGCATATATTTGGTGCAATAATTTGGAAGTGATATAAGTAACAATTTCTAAGTATTTCACATCCAATCTAGAGCACTTCCTGGTATTATTTAAAGCTTATGAAAACAGAAACACACTTTTTTTCTTTTTTCTCTTTTTGAGGCAGGGTCTCTCTGTGCAGTTCAGGCTGGCCTTGAGCTCACTCTGTAGCCCAGGCTGGTCTCGAACTCGCAGTGATCCTCCTGCCTCAGCCTCCCAAGTGCTGGGATTATAGGCATGCGCCACCACACCTGGCAGAGGAACACTTTATAAGGATACTTTTGACATGTAATAAAAAGATTCAAAGTTCTTACAGTTTTTTATTATCCACTCTGTCTTTGTGAAATGATAGTGTAAGCTCTGACTCTGAATTGTGAGCACTGTATCCTAGAAATGAAAAGGAACAGCATAGCTTTCAGTGTGGCAGACATACCTGCCACCAGGAAGAAAACACAGGTCGGGGATTTATAAACTGTGCTACTAGGGGTCATTTTTCCTACACTTACAAAGAAAAGCAAGAGAAAAACAAAACAATCTAAACTAACATTGCTTGGTGTAAAGCTCATGTTCGACTTTTCACTCACCCAGAAAACTTTAGTAAGTGCCTAGAACCTTTGAGACCCTGCTGCAGAACGTACATATTTCTCTCCACATAAAGCAGATGTATGGTAATGATAAAGTTACGTTTCTGTTACTGTTTTCAGTTTAACTTAAAAGTGAGCCTGGGTGAGGATTGAGATAACCAAGCCAGCCTAGGCCAGCAGTCAACTTCCACAGGCTGTTCACTGGCAAACGCAGAGGCTGCTCCAGTAGCAAACCGCTAGATCCAGAAGAGATGGCAATAAATTACATAAACCAGGAACAACAACTATTAAGACATACGTATCCGTAACAGCGAGCACCGTGCATTTGCTCTGGCAACATCTAAGGTGGAGTGAGAATTACAGAAATAAACACTCCGGAGGATAATTTTACATTCTTTTAGTCTAACCCAAGAAATATTGATTCCTACTCCACAGCTAATTTTAAATCTCCTTAGCAACAAATACTACACTATCCTTCTTGTTCCCAGGCAGACTAAATACATAAATTAGTTGATCTATTTATTAAATTTAGGAGCTAGAAAAAGGTCTCCTTGACATTCCACTCAATTGGATATATTTCCGTTTAATTGCATCATGTAGCTGGGTCTTGGTAAACACTCCGTTTCCTGTCGCGGTGGGCATCCTGTCTGTGCACCTGTGTGGTGCACTTTAATCATCAAGGCTTCAAAGTGCTTCTGAGCTATCACATCTTGGGAGAGTTCCGTCTTGCATCTTAATAATTATTTATCCAGGTTCTTTATTATTAACTCCTTTAATCTCTTCTTATTAAAGCAATTTTGTGTTACATTCCGTTCTCTGGAAAGCAGCCAATTTTTTGTCTCTTGAATTGGGTTTTTCAAAGATTCACCTCCCTGCCTAGGCTCACACATATCTGTCCTAAGTAATTTCCCATCCCTGAGGACCTCTAATGCCCACGGCTTCACCCTTTTCCCCTCTCCCTGCTGAGTATGTTCGTCTTGCCATTTGAATGTGGTTATATCTCGTGTTTGTCTTCTCTCCATTGGTATAATTTCCTAGACTCCACATTACAGAAGAGATGAGCGTAATTTCATTTTAAAATACTAACATAGCCAATACATACAATCTGAGATTAGTTTTATTTGGGATAGTCTTTAATTAATGTTGTTATTAGCTCTTGAAAGAAAGCCCAAAATTACATGAAAAATTATATGAAGCCGCTTAGCAGATGTCCAGCAGTACAAAAATAGAGCCCACATGTGATCCTTCACACTCTGATTCTCTTGCCTTGGTGTCTAAGGATCCACCTTCCCATATTAAACATTTTCCTTATTCTTTGCTGTAAAATTATCTGCTATGTAATTGTCTTTTACTTAGCTTTCTGGGAATTCTCTGAGGTTGGAATCAAGAAATCCTAAAGCTACGAGATCTGTCTGATAGTGTCTGAGCCCCAGGTCTGGAGTTTTAGCCCACACACATGGACCAGACCCAGTCTAAGCAAGAAACAATGAAATAGGTAGTAAGGTGCATGTTTAGCAGTGCAGGGGCTCTTCAGGTTTCATTTTGTTAATGAAATGAGCCGGGGATATAGCTTAGGGGCATAAGCGCTTGCCTGGCAAGCCTGAGGTCATGAGTTCCATTCCTGGTACTCAAAAAAAAAAAAGAAATGAAAGTATTTGATCAGCCAAGACAAAGTGGCAGGGAGGAACGAGGAGGGATCCTCCTCCCAGTGGCCGGGAACAAGCTCTCAGCCTTACCTGATTCCCGAAGAATCAAAGTAAAATATGCCATACTTTCCCAAATGCCCTATTAACTTTCTGAGGATCTTTAGCTTATGATTTAGAAACATATCAAGTATTCAAAGAATATTTCATATCAAAGGAAACTGTAAATCATGACTGCAGAAGGCAAGTGAAATGACACAAAGAAGGGAAAATATTTGAAAAAAAACCAGGTGAACCAGATTTCATCAAGGAGATAAAAATATCATTTTTCTGTGTGGCTCCACTGTTTTTTAAACACTCTTATCATATATTTCTACTAGGGTATACAGGTTGAACATCCCTAATCCAAAAATCTAAAATTTAAAATGCTCCAAAATCTAAGGTTTTTAAAGCACCAACATGACTTCATAGGAGAAAATTCTACAATTGACCTTCTGTGATGTCATAGTCAAAATGTAGATGCATTAAAAATGTTACATAAAATTATCATCAACTATTTGTATAAGGTGTACATGAAACATAAATAAATTTCATGTTTAGACTCGGGTCCTATTCCAAAGACCATATATATATATAATCTGAAATACTTCTATTCTCAAGCATTTCAGATGAGAGAGATTCAACCTACATTGCCTTTTTTAGGCATTCACTTCAATTATATTGGCTAGATGATTTTGACGATTAAGCAATTGAATTGATTCATCTAGTCTTATCCAGCAGTCAGTTGGGTGTTTGACTAAACATAGTGGGTCTAGCACTCTAGATGCACTGCCTTAGATTCTTGTAGAATATGATGACTTTGAAAATATTTGGCCATTTTAGTTAAAATGCAAGGTAACATTTGATGCAGCCATTATAACAGCAAAAATCTGTTCTGTTCTAAAAATGTTTCTAGCAATGAAAATATTTCTGGCTAAAAGAATACTCTTGACTTGTAGAGAGGCTCTGGAATAAATGCATTGCATTTTATTTATTTAAAGGTTGTCTATACAGATACATTCATTAAATAAAGAAATTTCTGGCTAATGCTCCTAAAAGAGAAGTTTATATAATGGAAGTAAAAGACATTAAAAGATTTACCAAAAATTATTTTTATAACTTATATGCCAATGCACATGATCTTACATAAGACACCAAAATAAGTTATTCAAAGCTGTCAGACAAACGCAATGTGTACCTTCTAGAATAATCACAAGATGAGTTAGTTATGGCTGTCTGCCTCAAGTAATTTCTTTCAAGAAATATCATCCTCACTCTAACAGTAAGCTCTGAGTTATGTTTGAGATATTGTGTTTCAGTTGCTGTGTGTAAATAAACATCTCATCAAGAAAGGAACACATGCAGTGTAGCTTTAGGAATCTAGCAGAGTTAAACTGTATTCATTTACAAGTTAGTGGGGGTGGTCTGCGTCGGGGTCCATGGGGTGTCCTAATCTCACCCATGCTGACAGGAGTCCGGGCCAGCCCTCTCTGGTCTTCCATGGGAGACTAGCCAGGTTTATAAATTCTTCAAAGGCAAAGATCAAGTCTTCAGTCTATTCTATACTTCTACCCTGTAGAAAATAATTCACAGCTCCTGGACATTCCCCATACACTCTTCATTGGAAATTGGTCCTAACCTGATACCTTGGATATTGGACAGCATCGGTGGAATAATCCTTATGTCTATGGAAATTCATCAGACTCTGCTCCTGGATTTGTATGAAACACAAATATATGATGTAAATAAATCTAGCAACTGAACTTATGTTCTATAATAGAGCACTTCTATATTTTTAAAATCATTTGCTCCTTCTCAGCATATCTGGTTAAAATGGCAGTAGTTGATTCCATTTTTTTGCATACTATAGCGTCTATCCACAATATTGTGTTTTTAACCAACTTTATTTGAGCAAAGAACTTCATTAGTCTATTTAAATTATGTATTTGCTTAATATATTTTCATATTTGTTACTGTGACAAAAATCTCTATAGTATATTGCACACATTTGCACCAGTATAGAAATAAAACTGCTGTTTGTTGAAGAGTGTCCTGTTGCTTATTCACTCGCTCCTCATTTATTAATTTTGGTCATCCTTTTGCTCAGGATAAAGGTCAAAACTTTCTGCTTTTAAATGAGAAAAATCTTTCAGGATACAATCATGAAGAAGATGATTGTTTAAACCTCTATTCCTGTGAGCTCTAAGTTGGTTACATACAGCTTTGTTGGTGGTCTCCCACTAAATTCTTGTGTTCAGTTTTTTAG